GAGCGGTTAAAATGGAGGGGTCAAAACAGCAGGGTCTTAATGTAGGGCCTCAATGGTCAGCCTCTCTATAGCTGTGGTCCAAATATTATTTGAATGACAAATCAAATGCCAGAAAGTTATTTTCTAATATTCTACATGCATTGTTTCTAGTATTCCACATGTATTGTTTCCATCATAAATTAACATATTTAAGGAAGCAAAAAAGAAATTACAAATGTACCTTCTCCAAGTGGTTAAAGTATAAAAAGTTAAAAAACAAAAGTTAGAATTAAATAATTTTAACTTTCTTAAAATAAAGCTGAGGGCTTCCCTGGTGGCACAGTGGTTGAGAGTCCGCCTGCTGATGCAGGGGACACGGGTTTGTGCCCCGGTCCGGGAAGATCCCACATGTCGCGGAGCAGCTGGGCCCATGGGCCATGGCCGCTGAGCCTGCGCATCCGGAGCCTGTGCTCCGCAGCGGGAGAGGCCACAACAGTGAGAGGCCCACATACCGCAAACATAAATAAATAAATAAAAAATAAAATAAAAATAAAGCTGAGAGCTAGCTAATTGGGGCAATATATAATTAATTGTGTTCTTTGTAGTTACTTGGTAAAAGCAGAATATCTGGGTCTTAGATAACTGGTTTACACTAAAGTAGTAGTACCTAGGCACTGGATAAACCAGTGGATTCAACACATCACAAATGCCAATACTTAAGTTAAAAATACCACCATCGGGCTTCCCTGGTGGCGCAGTGGTTGAGAGTCCGCCTGCCGATGCAGGGGACACGGGTTCGTGCCCTGGTCCGGGAGGATCCCACATGCCGTGGGGCGGCTGGGCCCGTGAGCCATGGCTGCTGAGCCTGCGCGTCCGGAGCCTGTACTCCGCGACGGGAGAGGCCACAACAGTAAGAGGCCCGTGTACCGCAAAAAAGAAAAAAAAAAAAAATACCACCATCAACGAAACTATATTTATTAATAGAGTCTAAATGAAAAAAATGTCTAAATGTTCTAAAAGCTAACTTTTATACTCTTAAACACATTATTTGATATAATGACTGATTTATAAACAGGATGTTTTATTGAGCCATTATTTTATATGTTTTAGCTGCTGTCTCAAATTCTATCAGGGGTATTTCTGACTTTAAAAGCACAACAAATATACTTTGATTTTTGAAAGGACAATTAAAATTAAAATGGTAACCAACATAAAAATTATGAAATATATATATATATACATATATATAGAAATACCCTGAAAGCTACATGTGAATCGCTGAGAAGTGGCCCCTCTTTTTCGATGTAATTTATGCTTGAGTCTCCAGCAATTAGATGTACGTTTCCTTCCATGCCCTCTACTGAGCTCTGACAGGCTGTGCTCTCTCCAGGATTCAATGCTTTTGCAAGAGTGTCAAATGCCCTATAAGGAGACATCAGAAGCTGTGAGCTTGGCCAATCTCCACAATAAAATGAAAATTCTATATAAAATTCTGAAGTTAAGATTTAGGCCTTAAAAATTGTTTAGAAAATAGAACTTTGGTGTATCACTGAGCATTCTATTTCAGTGATGTCTTTGATTCACTCTCTCCAAAAGCAACAAATTAAACTTCAAATATATTGTATGAAAAACTATATTATTATATTAATGTATTTTACCAGAGAATTAAAGTCTTTTAAAAAAACTTATGTAATTTAAGGGGAGAAAAATTCTTATGCTTTGGTATGAAAATATGCTTTTACAAGTTATACATTTGATACTACAAGGTATCAGGCCATTTATTTTACATACATAAGTTATTTAGAAAACCAAGGGCAAGAACTTATGTTGACTTTATTGTATTCTACACAACACATAGGTTTTAATTTTGTTTAAAAATTCAGAGAATACTTTAAAACTTATGGTAACATAGCTATATCTGAACTATAAGAATTTGAGATCAGGATGGCAAATAATATTAGCAAATTAACTATTCAAAATAGCTCCCCACATTTTACAATGAAATGCCTTCTACAGTTCTTTAAAATCTCATATTTAACAAAGTACTTATTTGAGACTCTTAAATGCAGTTTCTTCAATATTTCAGAAGATGAATAGTGTGAAAAAAGCCTGAAAAAATCTGGTTTCTGCATCCTAAGTATTAATACCAAAAGAAGGAAAAGTAGAATTCTGATATGAGTTTCCTGAAGTGTAAACTTAAAATCGTAATTGTTTCAACTAAGTTTTTAAAATCTATTTTCATCACTAGAAATTGGTGGGGAAAATGAACATGACTGCCTAGTAAGACAAATATTTAACTTTAAATACACAAAAGATAAAATCTGGCAACTAAGATATCTGAAAAATCAGACCCAAATTAACATCTTTATTGAAAAAAAATTCCTGAATTTTATGACTACATTTCTAATCTTATCACATTCACTTATGGCTCACTGTTTACAATGTAACCTGTTGGACATTTTATACTGAATAGAATTTTTCAATTAAAATTTACTTACGCCTTAAGTTTTCTAAGTCTAATAGAAATATGTTTTTTGAAACTTCTATAAATAATATTTAACATAAACATATTTTAAGAAATACTAAAGGACACTTGAACAAAAGGACACACAATCAAAACAGACCTTACCTTGAAACATCACCATTAGTCTGCATTTCTTGATGAAATTCACACAAAGAGGTATCACCATTGCTTAAGCTTTCAATCATAGACATTTCATTACTATTTTGAGAAAGATCTTTAGTTTTTCCAAGGTTTGCTAATGATGTAACCACACTTGCCAATGTACTTAAATCTCCCTGACATGATTCAGCCTTTAAAAAAAAAAAAAAATTAAAATTCTACAAACTGGTATCAGTAAACTTTTAAATCTGAAATATCTAATTCTAGAGTATGAAATGCCAAAAGAAAAGTACTCTAAGATAAATGAAATCCAAAAAGTAAAATCAAAGAGCTCTGAGCTTTGAGGAACTTGAGGAAACTACAAGTTTAAAAATATCAGGTACATTTCCTAGGAAATGTTTATACAAAAGTTACTTTAAACTAAAAACTGCACTTACTGGCTAATCTATCCATGTAACAATTGCTTTCTCTGTAAAAGGATATTAAATTAGATGATCTTTCAGGTCCTTTTTAGCATTAAAATTCTGATAATATTATTACAGTAATTTCCAAAACTTATTATACAAACTTTAAAGTTATATGGATAAAATTAATGTTTTATTAATGAAAAGAGAAAAAAAAGGAAAGTGGATTACTGAACAGACTTCTAGGATGCCAACTTTTACCAGCCACTGTGTTAAATGCATTGAACATCAGGCACTGTGTAGCTGGAAAGTCTCTTTACATATTTAAGATACTGGGCTTTTGTTATACAGTGCACGTTTTCCTATTTGTCTTCAGCTTTTATTTTTGTTAATGTGTATTTTTATGCATATAAATTATAATTCTTTTATGAAAAAACTTTCTATCCTTAACTCTCTGACTAGCCAGAAATATAATCTGTACAGGAAAGGCAGGTAAGTGCTTGATTTTTCTTCCTTTTACTTATCTATTTTTAGAGCAATGAATCAATGCCATAGCAACCTCTCACGATGAAAGATGAATTCTGAGTATCATTTTAAATTCAGCTTTTTATATATTTTATGTGCTTCAATTCATTAGTCATTCTTTATAAATGCTCTAATTATTCTACCTTAACCTAATGAAAGGCCCTTCGTTGCCTTCTATGGCCTATTGATAGGACCACAGATATTTAAAATTTTTCATTATAGCTGTTTTTTTTTTTCCTTTTTTGACTCTATTGGGTCTTAGTTGCAGCACATGGGGGATCTTCATTGAGGCACGCGGGCTCTTCATTGTGGTGCACGGGCTTCTCTCTAGTTGCAGCGTGCAGGTCTTCTCTCTCTGGTAGTGGCGCACAGGCTCCAGGGCGTGTGGGCTCTATAGCTTGTGGCACATGGGCTCTAGTTGAGGCGTGCAAGCTCAGCAGTTGTGGCACGCGGCTTAGTTGCCCCATGGCATGTGGGATCTTAGTTCCCGGACCAGGGATCGAACCCGCGTCCTCTACATTGTAAGGTAGATTCCTTACCACTGGACCACCGAGAAGGTCCCCTCATTATACCCTTATGGTTTTTGTTTTTAGTGTTATTAATCCTAAGAGGATACATATGTTTCCTTGAATTTCATTTTTTTTTTTTATTTTAATTTTATTTATTTATTTTTTGGGGCTGTGTTGGGTCTTCATTGCTGTGTGGGAGCTATCTCTAGTTGCAGTGAGTGGGGGTCACTCTTCATTGCAGTGCACGGGCTCTAGGAGCACAGACTTCAGTGGTTGCAGCGTGTGGGCTCAGTAGTTGCAGCGTGTGGGCTCTAGGATGCGTGGGCTTCAGTAGTTGTGGCTGGCAGGCTCAGCAGTTGTGGCTCCCAGGGCTTAGGTGCTCTGTGGCATGTGGGATCTTCCTGCACTAGGGATCAAACCCGTGTCCCCTGCATTGGCAGGCAGATTCTTAACCACTGCACCACCAGGGAAGTCCTGAACTTCATTTCTTCTATCAATTCTTTAGTTTATGTGAAATTGATTTCACTGAATAGGTAGGCAAGTAAATTTTGTGCTCTCCCCAAATTAATGAATGGTCCTAAAATCATTTACTGAGTAATCCACTAGTTACTGAGTTTCTTACAGGATTGCTACTTACATGTTTTTTACTTAATCCTCACAACAACCCTGTGAAATGGGAATCATCATCCCTTTATTATTGATAAGAAGAATTACCCATCGTCACTCCAGCAGTAAGCAGTGGAGGCAGGATGGGAAGTCAGACTGTCTGACTGGAAAGCCCATGCTCCTAACCACTGCTCCAGTCTTCTTTTATATATATGAGTAAAAGGAGTTAACATTTTTAGGTATTCTAATTTTCAACTAAAACTTAAACACTTATATAATCTCTTCCATTTCATAACGTGTATCTAACTAGATGTTTAATGTGGAAAGATCTCACATTGTAACTTGCCAGTTTTGGGACCATTTGTCAGAAACTAACCGCACAAGACTGTTAATACAATTTAATATAAAAACATATAGAAAACTACAGTGTGTGGGCAAACTGTAATTTTTCAACAAAACTTAGTTCTCTTCCTTTCCTAATGGAGGTAATGTCAATGAAACTGTAACCACCATTCTAAGCACAAACCATGTAGATAAGGATAAGTGAAATCTTGTATGTAATTCCTCACGATGTGCATTTATGGTAAGATACCAAATCTCCTCAATTAATAACAACATGCTAAAGCTCAGCCTGTAAGGTAGACACTCTTATTATCCCTAATTTTACAGATGACGAAAGAAACTGAGGCACTAAGAGGTCAAATAACTTGCCCAAGGTTATACAGCTAGTAAATGGCAGATGAAATTTGACTCCAGAGCACAAGTATTAAGAGTGCCTTAAAGTATCAAGCAACAAATAACAGCATAAATCTGGCCATATATAGACTGAATAATCTTATAGGGCATATGAAACCAGATCACATTACAGCCTGAGAGAAACACTATTCATAGTCTCTCTGAAATCTGTCTTCAGGAAAAATGTTTAACACTAGAGAAACTCTACATTCTGGATCTAAATAAGCAAACCTTTTTTCTTTCAGACACCTTGCTCAAAAAAGAGCTGCTCCAACTCTCTAAGAGAACCCAGATGACCTGGATACATAATGTGAGAGCTCACGCAATCCTACTCCTATTTTTGACTCAAGTCAATGTTTTGAGAGGTATGCTAGGAATTTCTCTTCACCTGAAATATTTTAAGTATTTTAACACTAAAATCTGTAGGAGAACACAAAAGGAATATAAAGAATTTTATACTTATACATTTCTTCTGTTTCTGAGGGCTTTTATTTCAAGATGAAAGAAACCTGGAAGAGGGCTTCCCTGGTGGCACAGAGGTTAAGAATCTGCCTGCCAATGCACAGGACACGGGTTCGATCCCTGGCCCAGGAAGATCCCACATGCCACGAAGCAACTAAGCTCGTGTGCCACAAACACTAAGCCTGCGCTCTAGAGCCTGTTGAGCCACAACTACTGAGCCCGCGTGCCACAACTACTGAAGCCCGTGCGCCTAGAGCCCGTGATCTGCAACGAGAAGCCACCACAATGAGGAGCCCGCACGCCGCAACAAAGAGTAGCCCCCGCTCACCACAACCAGAGAAAAGCCCGTGTGCAGTGAAGACCCAATGCAACCAAAAATAAAATAAATAAAATAAATAAATTTATATATAAAAAAAAGAAACCTGGAAGACATTTAAATGTTTGTTATTTTCACATTGAAGCTATAATTGTTCTAGTGGAATAATGAACATTTCTACTGATAAAGTTAATTTGTATTATCAGGACTCGCAAAACGGAGGCTGCTCTAGCGACCTGGTCCACTTCACAAACCTAAACCTAAGTCAGTTTGCACTTAAAGGAAACACCTGTCAAGGAAACCTATCATACACCAGTCACAATCCTCCTGCTCCATCTTTAGTGAGCTCACCTTACCCTAGACAACAGGACTCGACAGATTCACAAGAGAATCCCCAACCTCTGTGCCAATTAAGCCCTGTTTCCTCACTGCTGTTTCAAATGCTCTATAAAACTCACTCTTGACTAAATTTCCTCTGGAAGAGTGTTCCACTGAGTGTGAGCACTGTAATCTGCTAATCTGTTTTCCCTTAAATAAGGGACATCAAACTCATCACTAAAATCTTTTAGTTTTGTCATTTGACACTGCCAAATCGTTGATGATAATTTATGTTTAAAAAAAAAAAAGCAACTTGTAACAGGGAATATTTAAGACCAAATCTATTGGCCAAATTGATGTAGGAGAAAAGGAAAAAATTTTAAAAGCTTAAAAAATTTAAGCTTTAAATTAATTGTACTAAACACACCTTATCTGGTGTCATCAGCATAGTTGACTCAGTTTTTATGCCAGACTGATGAATATTCACAAACATTCCTGAATCTAACAGTCCTGCTGACCTGTAACAAATAAGTACAAATTTTAGCCTTAGTTTCACTGGGAAGAAAAACAAATTACCAGCTCCTTAATATATGTGGTTTCTGGTTGTTTTTACTATACCTTGCAGTTTCACTATCTGTTACAAAAGTTGGAGTTGCAGCTAATGGGCTTCGAAGGTCTTTTCGAATGTAGATTTTTTCTGTTGAAGCGGCACAGTTGGAAGATTTTTCTCTTGATACTTCAATGGGTTTTCTTTCACACTGAACAGCTACAAAAATGTGTCAAACTTATATCACAATGCAGAATTTACGGGCAATTACAAATGTAAGCTTTAGGTCAGCAATGCTGCTAATGGGAGACATGGTTACTATAACTGAACTCCAAAGATAATCATCAATCTTTAGAAATTATTTGCAAGTTCAACGAAGTTGCTTCAAAAGAGTAAAACTGGCCAATGTGCATCTCTTGTACTCTTTTCTCTCCCTGCCCCAGCCGTGGCAGAAATGTAGAAGAACTCCTATTTTTTAAAAGCTCACTGTCAAAAAGGAAACCTGAAGTTAGGAGTCCTTTACTTACCTATATAAGAGTACTAAAAAATGAAGTAATATTTAACCAACTGAAAACAATAATAATAGAGAACCACAAATAGACCGAAGTTAAATCTTTTTTCAGTTAAGGGCAGGGAGACTTTTGAGAAGCAATTCAATTGCTTAGTCTTCATTTATAAAACAGAGGTAATATATTTAATTTATTTTATAGCAATTTTACTTCATGATACTTAGGAGGTGGTATACTATAGCTGTTAAATATACATTTTCTGAGAAAAAAAAAACTGCCAAGATTAAAGTCCAAGTTCTGCCACTTATTAGTTGTGTGACCTTGGGCAAGTTACTAAATTTCCTCTGTTCACTCAAATGTAAAATGGATAACAGCAGCATCTACTGAGAATTTTGCTGTGAGAACTAAGTTAATTCATACGCTATACACAGAGTAAAGCATAAAGAGAACTCAATACTAGCTACTGTCAGTACCTTATTAATCACTTTAGTATTGATAGTTTAATCAAAAACTAAACTTGTATCTAGTTAGTTGGTTTTTTATTATTATTATTACCATGTTCAAACTAAAAATACACGCCTGGCATATAGGCACTCAAAGATTTGTTGAATGTATAAAAAATACATACATATTCACATATTTCTATATTTCTAGTTGGAAAACTTTAAATTAAAAACCATATATATTTGACATATTTTAACGTGTTAATTTTAACACACTTCTAAGAGTGTGCCTGAATTCTTAAAAAGTATTCTCTCCTTTAAAGCTAATACATACAGTCTTGTTTCATTCCAAACGCAATACATCTTTGTAACCTGCAGTATTGACAACGATTTCGATGGTGTTTATTAATAATACAGTCCTTTGATCCTCGACATGAATAAACTAAATTTTTTCGGATACTTCTTTTAAAAAATCCTTTGCAGCCTTCACAAGTTACTGCTCCATAATGGCGCCCTAAAGACAAAATGTTTAAGAAAACACAAAAGTCACATATTTCAGAACTGAAATGAAATAAGCCCATTTCTTCCCTTTAAACATGAGATGAAACTGAGATTTCTGAGTTTATGACATAAAAATTTTTTTTTAGGAATTACCAAACAGAGAATGGCACAAACTTATTCTCTGATAAAATATATTACAGTATGAGTTTTTAAATTTTGTAAAGTAATCTTAACAATGGCATGGAAAATTTGGGAAAGAGAAGAAACAAAATCACCCATAACCCCATGATATAAAAACTATTTTCACTTCTGAGATCACTTACAAATTATAGTTCTGTTATATACTGTAAAAAGTTACTTTATTCTAAAAACTTTGCTCCAAAAAAAGAATATAATGTCAGTTAGTATCTGAAATCTAATAATCTTTCCTCATTGTGAGTTCCACTTTTAAATTTCTGGAGAAATCTGTTATACTTTGATAAGCCTATCGTTTCACAAACCATCTCTTTGGCACAACTATTAACAAACTGAATATACTCTGGGAAAAGCTCTAGTGGAGGTTTTTTTTAATGAAGCTATGGAAAAGACAAAAAAGATTAAAGAAAACAAGCCGGGCCCTTAAACTTATCCCACTGGCACTTGTGAATCTATATGAACAAATATGGGTGTGTATTTCTGGCATGAAGGAAGTAAAATGGCATAACCCTGAGTACTAGAATTAGGCTTGGAGAAGTGCCTGCTCAGCTATGCAGAGCATTACACAGAGGTTAACCAGAGCTTTTCCACCTCAATAATCTGTTACTCTGTATTCCTGGAATGAGAACACGACTCAACAGGTAGATTAACAACCTAATTATACATGTTATTAAGGATCACAACTAATTTCTAAGCAATTCCTTTGACAAAACTGGTTTCACATTCAGAAAAATTTCCACATGTTCGGTTTACTTTCAAAAAGTGAAACTGTCTTTCACAACTCTTTGAAATATGCATTTTATGTCATTGCAAGATCACATTAAGCTGCACTGAAATAAAAAACCTTTAGGAGAATAAAAAGCTCTGGGGAAAAATCAGTTAAATTTCATAGGCTACAAATATGAATCATAAAAACAACCTGCTTCTTTTTCTTTTTACTTTCAGTAGAAGAAACACGGTAATGAGATAGTTATTTTAATAAGAGAACACATATAGGAGGTTATTTTTAATGTTACCTGATGCTTTGTCTCCACATACTACGCAAAGATCAAAAACCTTATTTGGTCCTTGTTCGGAGGAAGAATTATCTGTTAAGAGCTAAAGAAACCCCCCCCCAAACAAACAAACAAAAACACAATAATTTGTTGTTACTTAGTAATATTCTCATGTAAAAAATTAAAAGAACATTCAGTCAATCTTACTTTTTGCTTTCTTTTTCATAAGTTATTCTGAAACTTTGAACTCTATTATTAGGCATGCATCGATTAAAGTATTCTTAATTTTCTTTACATATAGATTAAAACTCCCATGTTATAAAAAGCACAGACAGAAATAATACCTTTTTAATTTGTTCGATAATAATTTGTTCCATAACAATTTCATTAAAGTAAACAGTCTTAAACACACAAATACATGAGTATTTTTTACTGTATCTCACCCATTACATATTTATTATTCATATGGAACACATTAAAGTACTGCAGCAGTTATCAGTCCTATCATGACATTTGTCTTTGAATAACTCAGAACATTTCCATATGGAATGACATGACTAAAATAAGCTATAACAGCATAAAAAGATAAATCTGAATTTTTTAAATAGAAAAGGAGTTATAAAGAAAAAAATATGTTAAAGCATTTACTTATAACTATGGAACATGACTGATATACAAAGGTATAAACTTTTCAAGCTGTCTAAGGTTTGGGTTAGGTGTAGAGGTTGAGAACATGGACTCTGGAGTCTGTTAATGACAGCAAGTTAGTGGGGACTAGGTGGGATGGCCTTGGACAAATCACCAAACCTCTTTGTATTAAGAGCTCATCACTAGGTACAGCTAATGTAATACCGGCAAAGAAATACTAGTTTCTTCTTTCAGGTTTATCCTTCAATCTTTCTGTCATTTTTTTTCAATCTTTTGAAATGTGAACAAATTAAATTCAAGCCAAAAAATGCGTCATTTAGTAAACATCTTCCCCTGCTTTAAAACAGCCCACAAAATAAACCTCTACTTTGACTCTTTTTCTTCTCTTAGGGGTGTGAATGCCTTCAGGAATAATTCTGATTTTAAAAACTTTAAACAATCATTAAAATACCTGTCCCAGGGAATTCCCTGGCAGTCTAATGGTTATGACTCCGCACTTTCACTGCCAAGCGTGCGGGTTCGATCCCTGGGTAGGGAAACTAAGGTCCTGCAAGCCAAGCGGCACAGCCAAAAAAAAATTTAAAATAAAATAGTGGTCCCTTACTATGTTATAGTGGAATCATTTCTTCTTATATCACCATAAAAATCAGTCTTCAATGAAAACTTAAACAAATAAACGAACAATTTCTGGTATTAGATGTCCTTTGAAAGCATCTATGACAAGTATCACTCTTTTTTTTAATAGCATATCTATTGCAAATGGTGCTAATATTTTATCTGCTATTATTCCTAAGGGTGGAAGAGACACTGAGAGGTTAATGGGCTTGCCCACATCCCATCTTGGTCACCAGACCAGAAATCAAATCTTTTTGGTCCAGGAGATTCTATCCTATACCTGGTTTCTTTCATTGCTCTCAGAGATGATCCATAATGTAGGTAAAGTACCAATACCATCTTAATTTTTAAATAGAGAAAGTCTTTTGAAAAAGAGTAACTTTAAAGTAGAGAAATCTTATATCACCTCTTAAGCCAGGTGATGTCACCAGTCATAAAACATGATGATAGTAAGTACCCTTGATATGATATGATGAGAATGGCACTTAACCTCTGTGATCCTCCTCCCCAAAACCCACAACCCCAGTCTAACCATGGAAAAAAAAAAGAACATCAAAGTCCCACAATGGAGCAACCTATAATATACCTGACCATTATACTTCAAAACTGTCAAAATCATCAAATACAAGGAAAGTCTGAGAAACTGTCACAGCTAAGAGGAGTCTAAGAAAACATGACAAATGTAGTATGGTATCCTGGAACAAAAAAGGATATTAAGTAAAAATTAGGGAAAGCTATGGACTGCAGTTGATGTATAAATACTACTAGTTCATTAATTATAACAATTGTATCACACTAATGTAGAATATTAATAATATGAGAAACTGTGTGTTCGGAGATTCTATGGGAACTCTCTATATTAAATGCTCAATATTTCTGTAAACACAAAACTGTTCTAAAAAAAATCAAGTCTGTTAATTAAGAAAATAAATTAAGGTATGGATAACATTATACATTTTTTTAGTGACTTCTGTCTTTCTGATAAGATAACTTTATGTATTCTATCCATTTTCTACCGTAGCTGTTTCTAAAAATAATATAAATTATGTAATTGGAAGAAAAATAGAACCAATCAGGATATATAGGCATAATTTTGTATCTTATGAATTTGGAGTTTTTCAATCCTAACAGGGATTTTCTTTCATCAGTGTTTTCATCACAAAATACAGAACCCAATTTTAAGTTGGCACTCACCCTCCTCAAAGCCTCTAGAGGCAAACTTAAGGGTTCATTGTATTTGTATTCAAACATAGCAACCAGTGGTAAAAACAGTTGCATAACCATGATAGACTGCTTGCTACATCAATGAAGATGTAGTTGATTGACAAAAGAGGAAGCAAAAGTGACAAAGCTGGCAGCTAGAATACCAGCTTCTTGATTGGGCAGCTGCTTGTTCAAGGCACAGGCATCTTGGTCCTGGAAACTGCAGCTATAGAATTCTATAGATGCTCCTGATTTGGAAGTTTCCTAACTGTGCAGATGCAGAAGGTCACCTAGAAGAAGTTCTGAAGCATGTTCCAGTAGTTATTCTTGGAAACCTGACCTACAAGTGTTTCTGCAGCTTTTCTAACAGTTCTTTGAGCTCTCAACATTCTTTGTTAAATCCTTTCCTGCCCAAACTAGCCAGATTGGCTCTTACTGTGAGCCACTAAAAACCCACCAAAATATATGGGTGTGAGGATGTTTGAGGAAAATAGTGGCTCATAGGCGAGGGCAGCACATAATTTTATGCAAGATTTTTTCCTACTGAACATGCAGGACATAAAGTCTTAATGTCAGGACTTATACTTATGATATGCTTTTTATGTTTTTCAAGGGTAAGATAAAAAGAAACTCTAGTTATTTACCTGGAGGTGCTGTGCAGACAAATCAGGAGTTGTAAAAATAAACTGGTTGACACCTGTTGCGTCTGGGGTTGTGAGAAAAACTTTTCCTGGAGTAGAATCTTGCCTGGCCAGAATGACTTTGCTTGGAGTAGAGCCACTGTGATTTGTCAGAATGAACTGTTTTCCTTGGGTATTATGATCAAGTGCTGTCACAATCTGGATTTTCTGGCCAGTTTGCTGCTCTGTAACAATCTAACACAATCATGTCATTAGTAATCAAGTCAACTTAATCTTTTTTCTTCTCTAAGCACAATTTTCTCATACCTTGAGACAAAGCTAGACTAGAAAAACATACCATTATATACATACGTTCAATATAATACACATACACACACACCATTAAATCTACCAATTCTACTTCGACATCCTATCCTACAGAAATAAACAAATGTGCAAATAAAGCTACAATAGTGAGAACACATGGATCTCACTATTTTCATTCCTTCCCTTCCTCTCCTTTTCCCCTTCCATTTACACAAACATATACTGGGTACATTCTATTTGCCAATCACTGTTCTGAGTCCTTGGACACAGCAATAAACAAAACAAAATTTTTATTCTCATAAAGCTTTTATTTTAGTGAGGAAAGGCAGATAAAAACCAAATAAGCAAATAATATTGTCATGTGGTATTAAGTGCTACAAAGTAAAATAAAGCAGAATAAGGTGAGAGTCATTGATAGAATGACAGTGATGAGGAGATGACATTTTTGCACAGACCTGAGTGAAGTAGCAGACCAAGGCTTAGAACTAGCTAGGGGAAGTGCATCCCAGGCAGAAGCAGCAGCCTGTGGGGCAGGAAGAGTGTGTTCCATACATCTGAGGCAAGAGCACACTGAGAGCTATGTGACCGAAAAAGAATGGGACAGAGAGATTTATGGTAGGAGGTGGAATCTGAGAGACAAAAGGGGCCAGATTGAATAGGACTTTGTAGGCCATAAAATGACTGATTTCCTACTGGATGACATGGAGATCCACTGAAAGGTTTACAGAGAAGAGAAGTGGCAGGATCTTTTGCAAAAAGGTTCATTCTAGATTTAGTGCGAAGACCAGACTATGAATGTTCAAGAACAGAATTAAGGGAGACCAGAAACGATGCTATTGCACAGATACTGGCAGCACTTGGGTATCATATATGGGCAGAGATATAGGCTGAGATCAGGGTAGCAGCCATGCTAGCGGTGAAAAATGATTAAATCTGGGATATTTTATAAGGGAGAGCTGACAAGATATGTTGATGGATTGGAAGTGGAATATGAGGAAAGAAGAGTCGAGGATGACTATAAAATTTTGGCCTGACCAACTGGGAGGACAGAATTGCCATCTACTGAGATGGAGTAGTCTGGGGAAGAGCAAGTTCATGAACAAAAAGAACAGCCTAGCATTGACAGTTTTTGTTGTTGCTAGGCAAATATTTTACAGAATAAACTCATTAAGCCAATTAAATTCCTTGATTCAATTTTAAAATGGCAAAGCTGATTTGTTTCCAACTTTTTTCTATTTCTCTGAAATTATTTTCATCAAGACTATTTTCTATGCAAAATTTACAGCAAAGTTCTGAATCACTAATTAGTTACTGTCTAGAGCAGACGGTATTATGGCTGCTGCCAATTTGAGTTTCCTTTGTCGACCATTATTTCTACCATATCCTATTTTTCTGGCTGCAGTTTTAACTGTTATCAATTTTATTTTGCATAGCTTATTTCTACCAAGTCTAGTCTCCATCTTCCTCTCTCACAATTTCTGCAATTTTCAATAACTATAAGATGTGACTTTGAATCAGTTCATCTATAATTTTATCATGTAAAGTTTATGTTGTTGTAAATTTTATTTTAGAATATTTCTATCAGAAATATCCATTGTAAACTGAATAAAAATCTAATGGCTCACAGTTATTTCTTAGAGACAAGCATCAGGTAAGGGGTCCAACTGTTATTGGATTGAAACCCTTTGCTTAGATGGGTAAAAGTATGTTTACTGCAGCATAATAATTATAATTGGAAACGGAAGCAATCTAAATGGCCTTCGATAAGGACCAGTAAATAGATTATGGAAATAGTTCTCAGGTCTCAGGACCCCTTTACACACCAAAAAAAAAAAAAAAAAGTCACTGAGAGCCCAAAGAACTTCTGTTTATGTAGGTTGTATCTATTGATATTTACCGTATTAGAAATTCAAATAGAAAAATATTTTTAATATTTATTAATTCATTTAAAAATAACCCAGGGACTTCCCTGGTGGCACAGTGATTAAGAATCCGGCTGCCAATGCAGGGGACACGGGTTCGAGCCCTGTCCCACATGCCGCAGAGCAACTAAGCTCGTGTGCCACAACTACTGAGCCTGTGCTCTAGAGCCCATGAGCCACAACTACTGGAGCCCGCACACCTAAAGCCCGTGCCCCGCAACAAGAGAAGCCACCGCAATGAGAAGCACGCACACCACAACAAAGAGTAGCCCTGCTTCCTGCAACTAGAGAAAGTCCGCATTCAACAACGAAGACCCAATGCAGCCAAAAATAAATAAAATAAATTTATTAAAAAAATAAAATAAATAAAACAACCCATTAAATGTTAACATAAATATTTAATGAAAAATAAATAATTTTCCAAACAAAAGAAAAATCAATGGGAAGAGTGACACTGATTTACATTTTTGCAAACTGCTTTAATATCTGGCTTAATAGAAGCTGGATTCTCATACCTACCTGGGCATTCAATCTGCTGCAATATGTTGTTTTGGTTAAAATATATAAAGAAAATCAAGCCTTACATTTACTATGTAAAAGAGGGAAGAATATCTTAACTGTTTCTTCAAACTGTGTAAACTGTTCTTTAATATGACACCAAAACTTGACAAGTGATAGCTTTTTTAGAGGTTAGTTGCAATGTGGAATCAGAAACTAATATATTATTAAAAACTATCCTGCAATGTGAATCCTTTACTCATGAGTGATTGTGTAACATCGTGCATTGGTCATCTGGGAAACACTGGTTCAGTGAGTTATGTACACCTTTTAAATGTTGACATATTTCATCATACAATATCACATGACATGCAGCCTCTGGAAAATTGCACCATATACTTGTGAGAGAATGATAGTGAAAAGGCAAATACTGTAACATTTTAGTATTATTAGGAGAATGGTTTTGACCATTAAAGAGTTGATCAAGTAAAGAGTTCCTAGATGATACTTTGAAAACCTTTAGATTATGGTACCTCTTACTAGGACATAATTTTTAAAAAAATGAAGACCTATCTATTGACATGGATGTCCTTCTACTGGTCTATTAAACCTCAGATTCCACACCTATCAGAAACATTCCATGGCTAGATCCTCACTCTACCACAACTCTTCATTAGTTGTTTTTCTTCTGTGCTCCCATAACACCCTATACAATTATCACAGCACTTACCATATCCTATTATGATTGTCCAATTATTCAAGTGTCTCTCACTAGATCAAAGCGAACTTTTTATTTATTTTTTTTAACATCTTTATTGGAGTATAATTGCTTTACCTTGCTGTATTAGTTTCTGTATAACAAAGTGAATCAGCTATACGTATACATATCCCCATATCCCCTCCCTCTGCGTCTCCCTCCTACCCTCCCTATCCCACCCCTCTAGGTGGTCACAAAGCACGGAGCTGATCTCCCTGTGCTATGCGGCTGCTTCCCACCAGCTATCTATTTTACATTTGGTAGTGTATATATGTCAATGTCACTCTCTCACTTCGTCCCAGCTTACCCTTCCCCCTCTCCATGTCAAGTCCATTCTCTACGTCTGCGTCTTTGTTCCTGTCCTGTCCCTAGGTTCTTCAGAACCATTTTTTTTTTTTAGATTCCATATATATGTGTTAGCATACAGTATTTGTTTTTCTCTTTCTGATTTACTTGATCAAAGTGCACTTAAATTCAAGGGTATCTTTTATCTCTGTACCACCAAAACCTAGCATATACTACACTTGGTATAAATAAGTTTGGTGAAGCAGTGAATGAACGGTAAACTAGACATACCTCTCCCATCTGTTGTTCAATAATCTGATGTGCAATTTCTTCTATGGTTGCCATGATTTAATTGCCAAGTGTCCTGCCAAAAGTAAAAAGATGCTTTTTTACAATTATACCCATAAAACATATTTACTGAAGAATTTACAAATGGAATTATATGATAGTTAGGATTTGCTTCAAAATAATCCAGCTGTGTGGGTGGGGGTGGGAAGGAATAAACAAAACAAGAATGGCCACGTGCTGACAATTACTGAAGACTGCTGAAGTTTATACAGGGGTTCATAAAACTATTCACTGTGCTTTTATAAATTTTGAAAATGTCTATTAAAAAAACCCAAATTATTCAATACCAAACAATTTCACTTTTCAAAGATACTGAAGCCTAAACTGCAGACCTCTGGTATAGATTAGGAGTAGTTTATTAACTGAATAAGGGCAACCCAGCCTGTAAAAAAAAAAACACATCCCTATAGTCATTTAACACACTTTTAAAGCAGTATATTGTAAACGCTGACAAAATAACTGCATTTATTCAGAAGGCTAGACTTCTCTAGAATTTTGTGATTGTTCATTGTTCTATTAACTTGAATTTTAATGTAAAACTGTCTTCAAATGGATTTGAGAGCCAGTAAGATTAATGGGTTGACTTCGGCTTTTGCTTTTTCTCTGTATCAGGTAGTCAAGAATACAAAAATTATTTCTGACTTTATCGCATTATATACTATAATAAATTCACTAATATTCTGTAATTATAATTAATATTAATTGCCAAATTGTCTGAATTATTTCTTTCAATTACTTTTAAAACCTTAAATGCTTCAATTACTTGTTCTAAAAGCAATACACAATATTTAGATTAATTACTCAACTCTCACTAGATTGAAAAGTAGTGCCCTCAACCTCTCTGGAACCAACAAAGGAGACAGTTACTTCCCAGGTCTGTGTGCTCTGGGTCCATGATGGCAGTGGCAGCCCTCCCAAACTCTGACCCATCTTTGGGGGGTCATTCTTCCCTTTTCTTGAAGGATAACACATGTTCAAAACTGAATAGCTCTACTGCCCATCCAGTTGAGTTCCAGAAATCCAATAGCCTTCATTCATTTCATCCCATCTCTGTCCCCTTCAGTCCAAGCTGGCAGCATTTCTGCTGGCATGAAATCCCCAGAAGTGTTGCTGCCTCCCATGCAATTCATGGGGGTCCAAGCCATCAGACAAGAGAGTCCTGAACAGATCTCTTCTGGATAACTCCATCTCTATTCCTGGCTTGTGCTGTACGTAGATCTCAAGGACACTGCTAATGTTGTAGTCTTCTGAACAAGGCCGCTTATTTTCTCCCACAAGAAACTCTTCCTCTGAGATTCATTTAAGCCAGTTACACTACAGTTTTTAGTGACTTTTATTGTCATTCATTCATTTCTGTTCCAATTCCATTACTCATTGATGATCTGACACTGATTGTTGTCCCTTTCCTGCCATTCTCCCAGTTTCCTGACCTCAAAGTCCATTAATGTTCACCCAAATGCTACTTTAATATTGTGCTGCCAGATTGCTCTAACATATATATTTAATAAAATTTTAGCTCTTAATATTCTTCAAAGCCTTTCCTTTAACTATAGGACATGAGGTGTCCTTTTATTTATTTGTTTATTTATTTATGGCTCTTATTTATGGTCTTCGTTGCTGTGCGCGGGCTTTCTCTAGTTGCATCGAGCAGCGGCTATGCTTCCTTGCGGTGTGCGGGCTTCTCATTGCGGTGGTTTCTCTTGTTGCGGAGCACAGGCTCTAGGTGTGCGGGCTCAGTAGTTGTGGCTCGCAGGCTCTAGAGCGCAGGCTCAGTAGTTGTGGCGCACAGGTTTAGTTGCTTCATGGCATGTGGGATCTTCCCGGACCAGGGCTTGAACCCGTGTCCCCTGCATTGGCAGGTGGATTCTTAACCACTGTGCCACCAGGGAAGCCCATGGACGTGAGGTGTCATTTGTTAAACCTTACATTCTAGCCATATGCACTACTTGTATCCTTGAATTTAACATGTTGCTTCGTGTTTCCATGTCTTTGCTAATGGTTTCTCTACCATGAATGCTATGGAATCACTAGATCAACATGTTTGTCTTCCAAGACTAAATTTAACTTAAAAAACTTAGGAAAAACGAGCATTCTTTACATATTGTTGATATAAGTATAAATTGTTATATTTCTAGAAAGAAATTTGCCTACGTCTATGAAGTGGCTTAAAATGTCTATGAAGTGCCTTAAAAATGTTCATACTCATTGATCGAATAATTCATTCAATATTCTTCAACAAATACTTGTTGAGTGCTTACTATGAGCCAGGCATTTTTCTAAATGTTAGGGATTGAGCAGGGAGTATTAAAACAAACTTCCCCTTGTAAAATTTATATTTTGGTGGGGTGAAACAACAAATTTCAGCTACTCCCAGAACTGACTTTCCTGGATGATTATTTAATATACACAAACTGTGTATATGAAAAGCCCCTAGAAGGCAAGAATCAACTTTGTGTCAGCACCTTTGACAAATAGCAAGATCTCAGGATGCTTACAGAACTGAAACACATCCTCAGTCTCCTGTTTCAGAAGTACCAATGTCTCTTTAATGGTCAAAGAATAAAGTTTCAGCCCTTCTCCTGGTATTTTTTCAGTATTTACTAAGCCCCTATAACATGCCTGCCACTGCAGACACAAAGCAGCATTCCTTTATAGTCTGACTGCCTCATCTTCTCATTTTATCTCCTACCAGTCCCAGAGGGGCCTCTGTTCAGGACAACTGGAATGTTGTTTATTCCCCAATATACAGTGCCAAGCTCCTCTTCCCTCATTTAAGTTTCCCCACCTTTAAAACTCAGTTCTAATTTTTTTGTTTGTTTTTAATCCAATCTTTCTAGATGGGTACAGCATTTATTGTGTACACTAAGGCTGTTAAAAAGGCCTCAAGAACAAAGTTATGTTTACTTCTAATATTGTATGCAAAATTTTATGGGAAGGTGCATTTTTCTAGCGAGAGTCCATGGCTTTTATAAAAGATTTTAAGAGGGTGCAGAGGGTCCTATATGACTTTTAAAAGTTACATGATTATATATACTGTTAATCCTTTATCATATGCGGTTTCTTTTGTCTTTTCTATTCCCCAGGAGTAGGAATTATATTTTGTGTAGCAGACATACAAAGAGTAGATATTTTGGGAATGTCTGCTGCCTTTGATTTCCTAAAAAAAGATTGAGATGTCTCTACAAAGAATGATGAAATTACATTTTATGCGATCCACTTTTTAATAAATAGAAATATCTCCTTTAGATCTACCAAATTGACACACAAGCAAAATCTAAAATCAATCATTGTGTATCAACCAACCGCACAGCAGTCACTGTTCAAAAACCCTCCAAAGTCGAAGGCCTATTTACAAGTTCCATAGGCACAAAACCCCTAAAGGGCTTAATTTCAAGTCTTTTTGCTTTTCCTTTCCAGTTATTATTATTATTTTTTAACCAGCTGACGTATTTAGTGAAGGTTACGAGACAGGTTTGGCAACATTTGTCATTCGTAAAACGGCATCTGCTGGAGTCGGAGTTACAGTTTCTTAACAAAAGCGCTACTGGAAGCTTGGACATGCCCACTGAACTGAGGACCCTTGGCCGTTCCATTTTATTTCTCAAAAGATACAGGTCCAAAGGCAGCGGCCACTCCCGCCCCCGTCGGTCGTGAAAGTTGATAGCATTATTCCGTCCGTCCTGTGTAAGCACGAGAACTAGCCAGAGGCTCGCGGTGAAAGGGATCCGGGCCTCGGCTCGCGGCCACTCGCAGCCAGGCCGGCCTCTCAGCATCCCGCCGGCGCTCGAGCCCACGCGGCGCCCCGGGCCCGGGGGCGGCGCGCGGCTCCCTCAGGCGGGGGAAGCTGCAGCGCCGCCGAGACGGAAGTTTTTCCTGTAGGTGAAAGGTCAGAGGCGCCGCAGGAGAGGCTGCCGTGCGCGCCGAACCGCTCAGGGACTCCCTCTCGCGCCCGCCGCCCCAGCCCCTCTCTGGGCTCCCGGCCCCACACCGAGCTCCGGCTCCGGCCTCGGCCTCTCTCGGAGCCCCGGGCACTCGGTCCCGCTGCTGCGGCCGCTCTCTGCGCTCCCAGCCCGCCCCAAGCAGCGCGCGGCGGCACTGCCGGAGGGCGGGTTCCGCCGGCCGAAGCCGCAGGCTGTTGGGAACGCTGGGGGCGCGTCCGTTGGCACCTGGGAGGAAGGGACCTCCCCACGGTACCCGCTCCGGGCGCCGCTGCAGCCGCTTTTCTCCTCACCCGTCCCTTCTTACCGGCGCTTCTCTGCCGAGCTACGTCCTTCGCCGGGCGTAGACGACAGCCCCGCTGCAGCTGCTGCTGGGCGGTGGGGGGGTGGGGGGCTCCGGGAAGAGACAGGTTGGAGAAAGCTGAAGGGGGGAGGGTTAAAAAAAATGGGGGCAGGGAGCGTTCTGGGTTTGGGTATTTGGGGGGGGGGGTCAGAGTTCGTGACCCCTCCCTCAGCTCCTCGGTGCGCGCTCCCGTCCGCGCCTGCGCACGAGTGCAGTGGAGAGGCGGCGAGAGGAGGTAGTGACGTTCCCCGGGTAGAGGGATGAGAGAACCCAGCCTCTGGAGGTCGACTGCCCCCTGTCGGATGGGAGGGAGACTGCCTCGCTGCAGCTGCGCGTCCCTATTTGGGACTTCGAGAATCCGCGTGGCCTTAGCGTTCCGTTTGCAAAAGGCAGTCGTTAAACGAAGTTTTGAGACTGTTCAGATTTAAGCCAGGATAGATAACCCAATCAGTTTTAGACAGTTCGGTTTCTAATTTGTGGTGAAGTGGGCTCTATTTCAGGCTCTTAGCTTGGATTAAACGGCTTATTAGAGGACTAACAAAACTGGGTAGATGCCGATAAAGTATTTTAAATAACCTTAAATAAAACAAGCTGGGGCATAGTCCTCTATAGTAAGGCTAAGTTTTACTTATAAAGTCTTGTGAGTAAATAGGCATAAGGGCTAAATGGAGCTAGAATTTAATATCACTTAGAATGAAAGCTTCCGAAGACTGGCTTTAGTCTGTTTCGTTCAGCGGTGTATTCCCAAGCTTCTAGGACAGTGCCTAATGGTCAATGAAGATTTGAGAAGTGAGGCGTTGACGGAACTTCACGTTCTGATAGTGGCTTCTGAGGCACCGAGGTGTGGCAGCCAGGGCTGCCCTGTGTGTAAAGCACTGTGTGGTTTAGATTTTAAGAGAAGGGGGTCCTCAAAATGTCTTTTAGTTTTGATTGGCACTAGAAAAGCAGTCACGGATTCAGGCCAGAAACCCAAGTCAGGGGGAAAAAAAGTGCACTGGTAAGGAGAACATCTCCTCTGTCATTTCCCTCTGGAACTAGGCGGCTGGACAAAGAAAAGGGGCAAGCAAAAACCGCTAACAAGTAAAAATATGCTCTATGCCTCATTCTCTGGAAGTCTCCCTCTTCCTTTTAGTACCGTTTGTCCTGTGTTTGGTTGTTTTAAGGCAGCCCCTCCTCCATCCACCCAAATTTGGGATCAAATCGTTAAGTTTGTCCCAAAGACAAAAGCTATAGGTCCAATGGGAAAAGGCAATCTGAGACCTTTCCTCTATTCTCAGTGCCTAATATGCCATTTGGGGAGTATCTTTTGTGGGTGAGAAAGAGCTTCCCCTAATTATGATTCAGGAAAACAGGTCAGTGTGGTTCATCTTTAAATATGTGACTATAAAAAATTATGGTTTAAAAGACATCATCAGGCTTCCCTGGTGGCGCAGTGGTTGAGAGTCAACCTGCCGATGCAGGGGACACAGGTTCATGCCCCGGTCCGGGAAGATCCCACATGCCGCGGAGCGGCTGGGCCCGTGAGCCATGGCCGCTGAGCCTGTGCTCCGCAACGGGAGAGGCCACAACAGTGAGAGGCCCGCGTACTGCAAACAAACAAAAAAGACATCATCACACCAAAAGTAGATTTAGTAAATTTATTGTGTATAAATATAATACATATTAACATTATTTACAGTGCTAATATTTTATAAAGGATCTATATGGACAATAAGTTACATACTATATTATTTTAAGTAAAAAGTGTTTCTATAAATTTGTCATTTAAAAAAATAGTATTTCGGGCTTCCCTGGTGGCGCAGCGGTTCAGAGTCCGCCTGCCGATGAAGGGGACATGGGTCCGTGCCCTGGTCCGGGAAGATCCCACATGCCGCGGAGCGGCTGGGGCCGTGAGGGATGGCCGCCGGGGCTGGC